CCTCGGGGCTGTGGGCTTCCGGGCGAGCCCGAGAGCGGCCTGGCCTGGTGAGAAGGCTCCTAACCCGAGGAAGTGGGTGTCGGAGCTGCCCGCAGTGTGGCCAACCTGAGGCACAGAGTACTCCAGCCACGTCTCATTTCGCTCTTGGCATTCCCAGTGTCCTGCAGTGTCCTCCCATGACCCCCGGAAGCTCTCTAATGGCCCTTCCCACACTTCCTGAGTGACCTCATCCTTCTCATGGCTCACCAGTCCCAAATCCTTATCTCCAGCCTAGACCTCTCCCTTCTGCGCACCGAAGTCCCTCAGGCCTCTCCAACCAGCCCTGTTCCAAACGACCAGAGCCATGTCCCAGCCTGCCCTCCCCATCCCAGCCATGGCCCTGTGCTCCTCAAGGGATTCCCGCCAGAAACTCGGCTACCACTGTGGATGCTGCATTTTCTCCCCAAATCCACTCCCATCACCAGGTCCTGACAAGCCTGCCCAGGTCTCCCCATCTCTACCCCATGACCTAATTTAAACCACCACCACCTCCCGCTGGGGCTGCTGTTACAGCCTCCTCCCTGGCTTTGCTTTCTCTGCAAACAAAGGGCTCTGACACCCAAATTTCACCTCATTGGTCTCCCTTTGAACATCTATCTACGACATGACCAGATCCGTTTTCTGCACAGAGTGGCCAGAGCCTCCCACACTGCCCCATGAGGGCTGCTCAGTATAGTCCACACCAGGTAAAGCTGGAGTGTTGGGAACTGCTAGTCCAGGACCCTAGTGCACCCTTCACAGCTCTTTCTGATTCAGCTGTGGCCTCTTGCCCTGACTCCAGTCCAGTAGCCCCCAGACCGTTCCAACTCGGGATACCTTTGACTCAACCTTCAAAACCCAGCCCTTGCATTACCTTCTCCATGAAGCCTAATATCCTGATGCTGTTCCTCAAAGCCCAGTTCATCCTGCCAAAGCCTAAGTTAATGGGTGGACCCAGTGCCTGGGTCTCAGCAGGGTGAGCCTCAGCCAGCCTGCAGAAGGGGCTGGACTAGGCATGTGACCCTGGAGAAATCAGTGCCCTGTTGGGGCCTCAGATTCAGAAAACTAAAGGTTTAGATGAAATCCCAGTTTGGCCCTGCTGATGGCGCTCATGGGAGAGGGCCTAGCCTGGGCAAGAACAAAAGGTCATAGGCAGGTCAGGAGAGAAGTAGGTCAAGGGGATTTCCTCCAGGACATGGAACCTCCCAGCCAACTGAGGCACAGACACCACCGCCTCTGGAATTGGGCCCTGTAAGATCTGGCCCTGTGATAGAGGGAATACCAGGCTTGGGAGCTCAGTGACTAGAGAGGAGAGGTAGGGCCTACACTGGGGGATAGGGCCTTGCAAGGTGAGAAGCCTTCATAAGGGGGTGTGGTCAGGCTCTCCTTGACCCTAAGCTCCATCTCTTCCCTGCCCTGCAGATCTACCCTCTGCCCCAGATCTCAGGCCCTCAGGTTTGGTTCCAGGGCAGGGGCCTGGCTGGGCCTGGCTTGGCCGACTAAGCAGAACAGGTGTGGGTGTGGCTACATGCTTCCCAACAGACCAAATAAATATTTGTGGAAGAGAAGCCAAAGGGGAGGCCTAGCATCAGAGAGCCCCTCAGCGAGTGCCAGTCCAACCCTGAGCCAATGTCCCCAGGGCCTGCCTTTCTCACTGGTCCTGGGAGCTTGGCTGGGGCCTCTGGGGGCAAAACGCCTTCCTGTCATGTCATGAACATCAAACACAAACAGACATAAACAGCAGTGGCTTCTTTACTCCCTGAAGTCCCCTTTTCTTCACAGAATATTTACAAACAGGAATGGAGTAGAGGAAACTTTGGGCTGGGGAGAGGGGGCAGTGCTAAGACGCGCCTCTGCGCAGGGAGAGTTCCTGAGGGGGGCCCAGGGCCCAGTGGGACCCCGGTGCCCTAAAGGACTTGGGCAGTTCTGAGCAGGTCCACAGCCAGGCTAAGGCTGGACTAGACGGCTCAGGCCAAGTCGGTGTTGGGCGAGCCCAGCTGCTTGGAGGCCAGGAGCAGGCGTGTGGCCGCGCTCTCCGACTCGGCCTGCAGCCGCCGGTTGTTGTTCCGCAGGTTCCGAACCTCCTCCTCCAGGGCTGCTCTGTCTGCCTTCTCCTGGGGGAGCGGGGCCAGGAAGCAGGAATCAGAATGACTGGTCCCTTTCCTGGGGCAGCCCTGTGACTCCCCAGCAAACCCCAGCCAGCCCATCACCTTCTGCAGGTCCTCCTGCAGCTTCCTGAGCATGGACTCCAGGTGAGAGACCTTCTCGGACAGGCTCCCAGGTTCTGGCCTGAGGACAGGGGGTCAGCACTCAGCAGAACTGAGGCACAGGGCAATGCCACAGCTGCTCCCAGACCCTCCTGGATGAGAGCGGCCCAACCCCCATCTTCTCAGACACATGGATGTGTGAAAGCAGAACCCTGGGACAATGCTTAACTCCACTGAATGGGCAGACGGTGGTCACAGAGGCATGGTGAAGGGGCTAGATTAGGGTGCAGAGCCTTACTCAGCATCAGATTTTGGGGTTTCCTTGGTATCTCCACTCTCTGGGATGGGCTGTCCTATGGGGAAAGAGGGACCGTTTGAGCAGGTTGGTAAAGGAAATAAGAGCCCCATCCTGGCTCCTCCCCACAGCGCTCTCAGTGGCCTCACCCTCCCGGGACAGCGACTCCAGGATGGTGTTGCAAGTGGAGGCGATCTCTGAGATGGACTGCCACTCGTCTTCCAGAGTTTCACTGCCTGCCTCAGACATGACTGGGCAAAGGAAGTGGGCTCAGCCAGGGAAGCCCAGGCCAGCTTCCCCACCGCCTGCCTCCTAGCCTATAGCCCACTGCGCTCCACACTCACTTTTGCTGATGGAGTTTCGAAGAGACAAAGTTCGTGGCAGGAAGGAGTCCCTCAGCTCTGGGGCCAGGTCACCCCTGTCCTTACCACCACTGGGGCTGGTTGGCCCATCCTGAGGGGCAGAAATGGATATGGGTGCAGCGATGCCCACTATCACCACTGTGCCCACCGCTGCTTATAGGGTTGCAGAGCCTTGTATCTGCTCACCTGGGTGGGGGGTGTCTCCCTGCCAGCACTAGGTGCTGGTGGCTTGGCTGTGGCAGCCAGGAGGAGGTCCGGGGTAGTGTTGGGCAGGACTGGGGCCTCATCTGACAAAGAGCTGGGGAGAACAAGGACAGCTCAGCACTAGAAGCTGCATGCACCCCATGGTCTTGCTTTCAGAGGCCTGCCTGCCCAGCCTCACTGGGCCGGATGAGAAGGGTGGCCGAGGGCGCACCTGCAGGGCGATGGCGAGTTCTGGCTGTGCAGGAACTCAGTCCTCTCCTCCGCGAGGTCTCCGGGCCCTGGCGGACTGCTGCCATCACTCAGGCACATGTGAAGCAGCTGCTTTGTGATGGGCATCAGGGCCACTTCAGGGACCTCATCCTGCACTGGCTCTGGGGCCCCCCGCCGGCTGGGCTCCTGCAGAGACAGCCTGTACAGCTCCGAAAAGCTCCTGGGGGGAGGAAGGGGCAGCTTTAAGTAGGAACACCCCTGCCCCAGCATCTGGCATTACCGCTCATCTTCAGGTCCTCCAGCTGTCTCTGAGGCTCACTTCCAGGAGAGCTCTCTAAACTCCCTAACAGTGAAAAATGTTTGCCTGGCTATTGGCCATTTTTCCAGACCAAATCGCAGCGCTGCCCCTGTGTATCCTGGGCAAATCACTCTGAAGGTCCACTTCTCCATGTGTGAAATGGGGGTAATAGTACTGATCTCATACCTTGCTGTGAGGATTTAAATAATAATACAACTACTGTTTGGGGACCAAATTCCAGCCTGTGGCTTTTATGTTTTAGATGTGCCTGTTTTTGAACTAATGCACACCAACAGTTGTTTTTACATTTATAAATAGTTGAAAGAAATAAAAAGAACATTTGATGACATGTGAAAATCATAAAATTCAAATTTCAGTGTCTATAAATAAAGTTTTAGCCCGACCGGGCCTGGCTCAGCGGTTGAGCATCGACCTGGGATCCAGGCGATCGGGGTTCGATTCCTGGTCAGGGCACATGTCCGGGTTGCAGGCTCGATCAATGACTCTCTCGTCATTGATGTTTCTATCTCTCTCTCTCCCTCTCCTTTCCTCTCTCTGACATCAATAAAGACATATTTAAAAAATAAAAATAAAAAATAAAGTTTTAGTAGAACTTGGGCACACTCCTTTACTAAATGGCTTCATTCTACCCCCGAGGAAAGTGCTGTTTAGAGATATAGAGGCTGGGGTTTCTCAAGAAGGAAAGGCCTTCAGCTTCTCCAGAATGCTAATGGCGACACACGCGCGGCCAGCTGCGCAGTCCCCCGCCTTCCCGCACCCATCGGGCGCCCTGACCTGCGGGGCCGGCCGCTCTCGTCCGGGGGCAGGACGGTGATGCAGACCTTGGGCGCGGAGCGCAG